CTGAGAGGGATCGGAGTCGACGGTCACCGCAAAGCCGAACGGAGCGCAGCCGGCACGCACAACCGGGCCGGGAGAACCGACATGGAGCCGGATCTTAAACCTGCGGCCGCGGCGAGCAGGGAGTTTTTCGACCAATAACGACCAGCATCTTTCATGCCGATCTCTCGCTTTGACGAACCGTCTCCGAAGACATACCCGTGTCACCCCCCCCCTCTTCCGGTCGTCCCTGACCTTCCAGAAGCGATTTTTAAAAGAGGTCGAATCTCCGTCCCATAGTTAGCATTTAGCATCTATAAACAATGTAGAGATATAGAAGAAAAGGGATAAGATAATGAAGTCTAAGACCATGAAGTGACTAACATTTCTGAGTTAATAACAAAAGATGAAGACTTAATGTCAAACTCATCGGAGATATTTTTAACAATAATCTCTTGATTTAATAACTTGATTTCAATTTGTTTTTTAAAAATAGAAAGTATAGTAAAAAAATCTGTTTTTAATTTATTTATGTTTTTAATAATTTTTAATTCTTTCATAAAGAAACACATAATCATAACAGTAAATATTTTTATCTTTTTTTTTAATTACGATATATTATAATTAAGGACGTATATAATAACGTATTAATATTTTTTTTCCTTTTGTATTGCAATATTTTTATAAAATAAATAAATAAATATAACAGCAAGCAAAGACTAGCAAAGTACGAGTGTGTGAACAAGGTTACGCATAATTTTTGTGTGTTTAATTTTATTTTAGATTATATATGTTATGTAAAATTTGTTTGATTTTTAATATTTTAACTAATTTTGTTTTTTTTATTACATAAATAATATTTTTTGTTCTATTCATATTCTCTTTTATTTAAAATATTATCATATTGAAGTAATATAAGAAATTTATAACAATAAATTATTTTTTATATATATATTAAAAAAGTCCATTGAATAACATGACATTTTGTCATCTTATCCATTATTAAAGTTATTTATATATATATAAGAATAAAATGATAAAATTGACATATGCTTAAAAAGTATAAATTTTTAAATATTTTAATGTTATGTAATAACATGTTATGTAATAACATTTCAAATATTCAAACATTTATTTATTAATTCTCAATTATTATAGATTTTTACAAACAAAGATGTAGTAAATGTAAAAAAATTAGAAAATCATTATTTTTATGTTATCACAAAAATTAAGAAAAATTTTGTTAAGTAGTTTACAAAATGATTACAAAATAAGAAAATAATTTTTGATATGTCTTTTTGATATATGTCTAATATATGTCTTGTTGCGACAGTATAATAAAAAAATTATATCAATGCAGAATATAAACTTTATAATTATTTATAAATATATTTGTAATTTTTTATAAATATAACAAGAAAATTATAAATTTTCTATCAATATAATTATTATAATTATTATATTAATTATAACAATTATATTAATTCAATCAATTAATTATTCTATCGATTAATTATTATATTAATTATAACAATTATACTAATTTTTTAAAGAAGGATCCTTGTGCAAATACGATTCTTTGAAGTACTTGGATGCCTCAGAATTCTTCGCAAAAATCTAATATTAATTTTATTAGTAAAAATGTTAAGATAAATTATTATTTTTATTATAATTTTGGTCTCTATTTCAAATTTAAAGCTTACATACTGTTAAAATATTTTGTAAAGTATTTCTAATTGAATAGACAAATAAATGTGCTGTCATTCATTTGCATCAGCGATAATACAAAAAGAGCTCATTATTTTGTATGATTTACAGCTGGAATAGAATTATTGGTGCCTCTCAATGTTTTCGCTCGTAAAAGTTGACTCTTTTCTCAAGGATCAACGTTACATGTTTACATCCCGTTCTAACATTCAGCAGAATTGAACAATTGAGTTTAACAGAACGTACGCTCACACTTTGTATGTTCGAATTCTTCCAAAAAGTTCCAAGAAATAACACTAATAAATGTTATTAAATTCTATTAAGTAAAAATATTTTTTTTTAAATAAATATTTTTAATAAACATGTAATTTTAAAAATATATAAATGCGATAAATGCGAGATATTGAAATTTTCTATAACAAATACAAATAAGATTTCTTCGTGTCCTGCTGATGGTAGCAAATAGTTGCAAATATCGTTTTATCTATTACCGAATCGTTATTTAAAATTTGCTCCAAATTGCAAAATTGAGAATCCCTGGCGACAAGTAGCAATCAACAATCGACACAGTAGCAATCAAAAATTACCATGTAATGACGGTTTGCAAAACGTCCAGCAGTCATCGACCACCGTACATTTGTATGATGAGTCACTTTCGTTAATCGCAAGCGCATTCCGTTTTTCGAATGACATAGCGCGTTCGCAGGTTTGATTGCATCATTAGAATGAGTCATTAATACCCCGTCCAACCCCACGTGGAAGGAAGCGCGACCGTGCAGAATATTTAAATAAATATTCAATCATACTCGATTCCTAATCGCTTATAAACTGCAATCTTCTATCGATTTACCTCGTGTTCGAATCTTTAATGAACTGGAAAAATAGTGAATTGAAAGGTTGGTTAAACGCATAGCTTCAATATCTTCCGTGTTTGATATTTGATACTAAAGTAGATAATAATGTCTCTAACCAACAATTTCTCCCATCAATTGACTATAATAATTTGATTTTTTAATTGAACGAACGATTGTAATTACTATATGTCAATATGTTACATTGATAATTTATCGATATTGTATTTTCTTGAATAATTAATTATACATTTGTATTTTAAGGAAATTAATTATATAAGCTCTGTCTCAGATCTCCCTTGACAATCATTAAGAACAAATTCTTAAGGTTATTAAAAAAAATTGATTATTATATAATTTATTTAAAAAATTTGCGTGCTTAGACATAATATTTTTGCACAGTAATAAAAATATAAAAATTATTATTCATTTATAATAATACTTTATATGATAGCTTTAATACTTGTATAATTATCTAAATATGCGAATTTCAAATAGTTTAATGACCAATTTTAAACACTTTTAATTTTTAAAAACTATTATAGCCTTGTATTTCCAGATATTAAGAGTTTTATTTTAAAATGATCTCAAGAAATTGTAATTAATAATTGTTACGGAAAGCTTGAGACATCTTGTATAAAAAATAAAATTGCTTATATGTATGCAACTTATTACAAAATTGTTTGGTTACTAAATGAGAATTTAATTGTTTTAATAATTTTCTATATAATTTTCTATATAATATTGTAACAAAAACTTATTGAAGTATTGAAAAAACGTATGTTTTATATTTATACTGTTTCAGCAGGTAAATAAGTTTAGATTATAAAGAAATTAAAATATAATACAATCTTTTATAAAAGAAAACATTTATAATTAACATTTTTCTTAATGAATGACGACAACTTTTGATAAATTGATTAACTATAAGAAATAAAAAACTAGTAATTTATACAAAGATTTAAGCATACATAAAATATAAAAATAATTAATTGTGTATATCAAATTAATAATTTTAAAATGAAATAATCTAATTCTGATTATTTATATTTTATATTATTTATATTATCTAGTATTATCTAGTATTAATATTGTGACTTTTTTCTATAAGAATAAACTTAAAAATTAAATAACTTCTAAGTTATTAGAGAAATATACTCAGTTTTTACATAGATATGTTTAATAAAAATAGTAAAATAATAATTTACAAAATTTGTATGCTTTTGCCAGTGTTTCGATATCTGACACATTCCTAATTGCTGTTTCAGGTAATGTTAGCATCATCTGCACAAGTACAATCGGAATTCTTTTGTAATTCTCGAATATATTAACAGATACTTGAGTACAGTAAATCGAGCACCAAACTCATCTTCGCAACAGGCATTACGTTCAACTTTGCATCGGACACATGTGCGTGACATGATTGTGAGTGCTCGCATCGTTAAACGCGTCCACCCATATAGTAAGAACAGTAGAAGCCGCCGTTACAGCCGCAATAGCTGCGTGTCTGTAAAGCAGGAACTTCCGTCGAAATAGAAGCGAATTGGTCTACCTTAACGCTTCGTGAATTTCGCATTATTTCTCATTCACCGCGCTCGATTCTTGACCGGAATGATCGAATTAAGACATAGAAGGAGCAAGGCGTAGGAGTGAAAAAAAATACGTATCTGAAATGACGTGTCGCTGAATAATATGAATAATTATCCGGATCTACAGAATTAACGTTAGTCGAATTAACAATACTGAATCCGGAAAGGTCTGAGAAACAAATCTTGAAGTAGTATGAAAAATAAAAGAAAGAAAAAAAACGAGTGTGAAAGAAATCAAGTCTATATATTTTGATAAATGGCACATTTATACATTTTTTTTAAGCTTTTATCGTGGAGTATCGTAAAATCTTTTTTTGATCACTTTATTTCAAGTTTCGTGTTAGGAACAGATCCTTAATGTTAATTAATTATTATACATCAGTTACAAAAGAAAGCGATAATCTTCTTGTCGCCAGAATTTCACTCTTGGAATCTTTTCACGGTCATGATTACATAGAATTTATGTTACCGGTTTCCGGTTTTACGTGGTAAACGATGATAGCGATTATCTCTCTAAGTATAAATAATTCATATCTGAATGAAATAAGTGAAAAAAAATTATATTTTTATTGATATAAATTCTTTATATTAATATTTATATTGATTCTATTAATGTCTTTATATAACTTGACTCCAATTATTTTTATACACAATTAATAATTATACATATTCATAATTTATTATTATTAAATATATAAATATGTTAAATATTGAGATACATATTTTATTTCAACAATATAATTGTCCGAAAAGAACGATTTTGTTAAAATATTTTAAAATCTAAATAAAGATAGAAATAGAGATAATAATCATTATAATTTTATCGGTCTATTAAAATAATTATGTAACATTCTCTTAAATATGGAAATAATATCACAAAAACTTTTGATATTCTAACAAGTAATTTGAGCATCCAATAAAATTATTTTGTTTCACTAAAATTATTTTCAAATTCGTTTCCGATCAAATTTTTTTACATGCTTCTGCAAAATCTTCTTTTTCGAATTCTTTCGATCTAAGATATTATAATATTGTTGCATTATTGCATTATTTATTTTTCGTAAATTTCATAATGAAAGTGTGAATTGCGTCTTAAATTTTAGTTTCGTAAGCACTGATGAATGCGGTAATTCATTCATATATTTATCATCCTTTTATCAGCTAAGTGATTACCTTCATTGTGATAGTCATTCCGAGAAGATATCAGATCGAAAGAAAATAATTCTATTACAATGTATGTACGATTAGTAATTCTGAAGATAACTAGAAAACTTTTTTATTGAATATTTTCAATAAAAACAGAAACATTCCATAAACCGAGAAGGAGGTGCTTCTATTTTGTCAATAATTTTAACGCATTTTGATTTAGAAAAAGAAGTATCTTCTTTTATTCTACAAGATTGATAAGTTACGCACAGTTCGTATTTGTAAGAAACCCTTAAATTTTACAAAATATTAACTAAATGTTAAATGAAAGGACTGATACAGGATCTGGGAAACGCGTGATTTTCCCAGAACTCTTGTACCGCTATTTATAAGTGTGTACAGTTATAAGAATAGCAAAGATTACCATGCAACGTACGTTATTGCGCTGCTCGCAATAGCCTGATAAATAAACTTCAGAGAAAAAACAGTTTGTTCAGTAACAAATATATATTTTTCTCAATAAAAGATAAATTTTATAGATGCGCGCGTAACTTCTCAATTGCAGAACGATTAGAGATTTTTATTTATATATTATATTTAACTATAATAAACTTAAAAAAAGGATTATCCTTGATAAGATAGATATATTTACAAAAATCTTGCTTAGTACTTGATTCTTAAATATTATGTTAAATAAAAAATATATAATTTTTCTACTATTTTTATAAAATTTTAAATTCAAATTATAATAGAATTATTATTTTATTAATAAATAAACTAACTTGTCTGAGAATAAGAAGCTTTTTTTATAAAATAATAAGATATCCAAATGTAAGATAAAAATATGTATATACATTAAAACATTAAAAAAAGAAATAAAAATAAAAAAATAAAAAAGATGATAAAAAATATATTATATATACAAAAGCGTATCATAAAATAATAATTTATTATCTTAAAGAAAATAGACCTTATGCATAATGAAAGAAATGTTAGGAACAAGAATAAATATTAAATTTTGAAAATAAAAATTGGAAATAAAGATTAAACGTAGCACAATGGACACAAGAAAGTAATAAGACATAGCTATATTCTAATTTTTATTTCCAAATGTTCAAGAGAGCACCTGGTAATCGAGACCTCCTTGCAATTATATAAAGTGCATTACTGGCGATTACTCTCATGCCAACTCTCACACTTTAATAATAATAGCGTGCGAGTATCGATATTCGTGCGATTCCTGATTCGCAACGCGAAATAACGCGAAATAAAAGATTAGTGCTTGAGAGCAACAAATAATTCTTACCAAATAATAAACAGGATAATATCATTTTAACGGCATCTGTATTTCTCGATTGTCCTTTTTCTGATTTTTATAAGAAAAATAATAACAACTGATAATAAAAAGACATACAAAAAAACTAAAAAAATAATTTTCACATTATTTTTTAACAAAAAAGTTAAGTATGAAGAAATGAGAAAAAATTGCCCATATATAACCATATATTTTTTTAATTATAAATATGTATCATTATATGAATAATTTTGTCTCTTATCTTTAAACTTAACTTTTTATAAAATAAACGATACAAAAATAACTTTATTAATTATTTTTTACGTCTTCTTATTATTACTATTACTTTTCTTACCAAACAGAAATTTTACAAAAGAAAAAAACTAATATAAACATATATGGACATATTTTGTATATAATTATATTTCTATATATTTATATAATATTTATATTATAGGGTGAATCTTAATGGATGTGCCAATCTTTTATCAATCTTGAAAAGCTATGGTTTTTAAAGGAAATTTGTATGTGTATAGAACATAAATACACATCATACATTCGTTGTTCCATTGCACCTATAGAAAGGTAAAAAGTATGTCAATATGTATTTGTATTAATCACACATTGTGGGATATTTGACCTGACAAAATTTGCGGTATTTGTTACCGTTTTATTATTTTACTTTCTTATTATATATATATTATTATATATATATATATATATAATATATATATATATATATATATATATATATATATATAAAATATGTCTATACATATATATATATACATATATATATATTATATATATATATTATTATTATTATTATTATATATATATTAGGTGTCAAAAAAAAGTTCTGAGCTTTAGATTTCATACAACCAAAATAACAATTTAAATTTTATATCTTCTCGCCCTTTTGCGGTTTTAAAGCGTTGACATTTGGCTAAAAATTCTAAAATGCCATACGATTTGGCGTTTAATGCACATAATCTCAAAAATCAGTAGTGTTCACGATGGCAATAACAAAAGAGCATTTTCGATTTTCCATCCACTTCGAGTTTCATCTGAAGAAAAATGCTGCTGAAGCAATGATTTGTGCTGCATATGGAGAGAACGCTGTAAGTCATGCTACATGTAAAAGATGATATCAAAAATTTCGCCAAGGAGATTTCAGTCTTGAAGATGAACCGCGTGCTGGACGCCCTCAAAAGATTGAAACGGACGAATTGCAAGCATTGCTGGATATAAATTCTGCGCAAACTGAAAAGGAGCTTGCAGAACAGCTTGGCGTTACGCAGCAAACCATTTCCGTACGTTTACATACGATGGGAAAGGTTCGGAAGGAAGGCAGATGGGTTTCCGCATGAATTGCCCGAAGACAACAAAAATCGTCGGCGTGACACTGCACTCACTTTGCTTTCAAAGTTTCGGAAAAAAGATTTTCTGCACAAAATCATTACAGGCGATGAAAAGTGGATTCTTTATGATAACTCTAAACGTAGAAAATCATGGGTTGACCCTGGTCAACCTTTGACATCAACGCCAAAGCCCAATATCCATGCCAAGAAGGTTTTGCTCTGATGGAATTGGAAAGGTGTGTTGTATTACGAGTTGTTACAATCGGGTGAAATAATCACGGCAGAACTGCTACCAACAACAATTGACCAATTTGAGCGATGCATTAGAAGAAAAGAGGCCATTTACTGGCCAAGGACGTCGTAAAGTGATCTTGCTTCATGACAATGCTCGACCACATGTTGCGAAAGCGACTCAGGACCATATCTTTGCGTTAGGCTGGGAACTTCTCCCGCACGCGGCGTATAGCCCAGACATGGCACCTTCCGATTACTACCTATTCCGGTCTCTGCAGCATCATTTGGCTGATACATATTTCGTGAGATTTGAAGAGATAC